TGAGTCCTACTCGTACCCGTCCATATAGGCACAATTTGTGAAGCCACATAAGATCACTCTATTATAAAAGAATAGCAACGGAAAAGTGAACTTTTTTTGCACCGCCCGTTTTCGTTGCGTGAGCCTGGACACCGTACCCCATTCCCTTTTGAGTTTGATGAAAAAAAGGCGACTGACGCGCATGAACTGCAGCTGCAACGTGGTCTCTATGGTCTAGTGGCTAAGGGGTGCGACTCTCAGCTGCCAGACTCGGCTTCGATTCCCCACTCAGAAATTCCCTTTTGCCACTAACGCTGGCTCCAAAAAACAGCTGATTTCTCCACAATCACTCTATTATAAAAGAATAGCAACGGAAAAGTGAACTTTTTTTGCACCGCCCGTTTTCGTTGCGTGAGCCTGGACACCGTACCCCATTCCCTTTTAGGTTTGATGAAAAAAAGGCGACTGACGCGCATGAACTGCAGGTGCAACGTGGTCTCTATGGTCTAGTGGCTAAGGGGTGCGACTCTCAGCTGCCAGACTCGGGTTCGATTCCCCACTCAGGAGTTCCCTTTTGCCACTAACGCTGGCTCCAAAAAACAGCTGATTTCTCCACAATCACTCTATTATAAAAGAATAGCAACGGAAAAGTGAACTTTTTTTGCACCGCCCGTTTTCGTTGCGTGAGCCTGGACACCGTACCCCATTCCCTTTTAGGTTTGATGAAAAAAAGGCGACTGACGCGCATGAACTGCAGGTGCAACGTGGTCTCTATGGTCTAGTGGCTAAGGGGTGCGACTCTCGGCTGCCAGACTCGGGTTCGATTCCCCACTCAGGAATTCCTTTTTGCCACTAACGCTGGCTCCAAAAAACAGCTGATTTCCTCAGATCCTTATATAAACAGATCCTTATATATAAAAAGAATCTGTGTCTCAAAATTCAAAGGTACCTCAACTTTAAGACATATGTCGCCCTGAAAATGATTGAAATATAAAAATCTAAGAGCATTTTCGCTTAAGAGCTTGTTGTCTTCTTTTTATTGGTACCATTCTCTTCGAACAATCTTCGATGGTTCGTGAGTTATGAGCGCTCAAAGTTAACGTATCGGTCAAAAACGCTGCTGCTTCTTGAATGGTATTTTTTCGTGGTTCTGGTAACACACTTATGAAGTTTCTGCATTTGAGTATTCAAACGCTAGAAGCCTATATAGATGCTTCCAGTCATTTGGTATTATAAGTCGTTATGGAAGTAATCAAAGTACAGTCTAGAATTTTCCGAAAGGGCTGCTGCAGAGCGACGACTATTGGAATAAGTTTTATGGATAAAATGCCAGGAGCACGTATCGTGGACGAATTGCATTACTCTAACTTTACAAGCAAAAAAGGTTTCGTTTCCTTCTTTTGCTTAGACTAAATGCGCCATATATGTGGCGTGCTCCGCGACAAATATAAACTATGTTCATTTCAAGTACGCCAACTTAATCGCAATTTCAAACAGCGTGGGCGATAAAGAAAAGAAAATACTGTAGGAGATCATATTAGGTTGGCACGAAAGTTCTTGCGTAATTCAAATAAAATTCAATAACTTTCTAAAGACTAAACCTAAATTCACAATCTTGTATGCTAAAAATATTAGAAGTCTTACGCTTCATGATGGATGTTTAAGCATAAGATTCCGTGAGCTGGACATCAAGAACAAAGCTCTCGAATATGGGGCTTCAAATTTTGCGATTTTGAGTTTGGTGCCAGAAAATCGCAGAGTACCGCTAGCTAGCCGAAAAAAAATCTGTAGAATTTACTTACACAACAAAAGTCCATATGTTACTTTGGAAGGCTTTGATCTTGCACGGTGAAGCAAAAACAAAAAATTCGTGAAGTAAGTCATGTTGCGGAAAAGATCCCCTCATGTCCGCAGTTTTCCAGGGAAAACACTTTTTTATAATCGAGAAAACGTCACAAGGCTCTAAATAGGCACTATGTCTAATTTCTGGTTGCAAGCTGTGTTTCTGTGGAGAAGTTAGAGCGATAAGGGGATTTGTCATGTGAAATGAGAATTTTCACAATTTTTTTATTTTCGCGTTTCCATGCGAGATCAAAGCCTGCTAGAACAACGTATGGACTTTAGCTGTGTAAGCAAATTCTACAGATTTTTTTCGGCTAGCTAGCGGCACTCTGCGATTTTCTGGCACCAAACTCAAAATCGCAAAATTTGAAGCGCCTATTCGCGAGCTTCGTTCTTGATGTCCAGCTCACGGAATCTTACGCTTGAACGTCCATCATGAAGCGTAAGACTTCTAATATTTTTAGCATACAAGATTGTGAATTTAGGTTTAGTCTTTGAAAAGTCATTGAATTTTGTTTGAATTACGCAAGAACTTTCGTGCCAACCTAATATTATATTGAAAATGAGTACCCTATTTTCAGGTGTATAAGCCGCACCCTTTTTGCTCTAAAGGCGAACACGCCAAAGGACTGACTGTCATCATGGAACGCGTTATGGGAGAGCAATATGCGGTAAGGCGAGCGCTTTGCGAGACATATGCGCGGCGGCACGCCTGGGTCTGCTCGCGTTTAGAGCAAAAATGGTGCGGCTTATACACCTGAAAATAGGGTAGTTTGACACTAGGGTTAAATTCTAACATTCACTTCTTCCTTAACTGAACTTCAGCGATCACACACCTATCCGTAAACTGCCATTAACTGAATGAGAAAAACCAAGGAGAATGCGTCAGATCAAACGCGCCTTAATAGTAGATAACCTTTACGCCTTCGCTTAGGTTAAAAGCGCCACAGAAGCACGCCATGAAGATCCCCGACTTGTGCATCTACAGATGAGCGCGAACTGCGCGTAAAAGCGATCGCCGCGCGTATTATCCATTTGTTACTTATCGGCTGCAGCACTGCATGCTTCGAATAAAGAAGAGAGAACTTCTAGAAAAAAGGAGCCTCGCGTTTTGGCATAAGAATTTTGGAAAATAAGGTGTTTATAGTCTACCCCAATCCTAACCAGGCCAAAATCGGCATGGCGGGAGTCCGCGCCGCGAGGGTTTCGCGCCACATCTGCGGCTAGCTAGTCTGCTCTCTCCTCGATCTGTTCACTCTCTGCGACAGCGCGCGTATGCAGCGCAATCCCCTAGCGCTGCGAGCGTGCAAATTCAGCCGACGGTTCGGCCTGATCCCGATTGGGGCAGACTGTACTTGGATTGGATTTGCTCAGATATTTGCCGGGGCAGGCGGCTAGTGAATTTTAAGCAAGCGGGCACCGGAAAAATAGTTTGCTGATTTCTTCCGGTCCGCTTGCAGCAATCTGCAATAATTTTGCGAATTTTTGGACGAACGCTCGGAGAACTATCGCGGTCTTTCCGTGGATAAGTTGCGGCACAGTAGCCGCATTCTCGCAATTTGCAAAATTGTTGGGGACGCACGGTCCTTTGTGGAGGACCGCACTGCTCAAGGTGCCTTCCGTTGGAAGGAGGTATCCCAAGACTGGCTAATCAAACCATCGATGACACCTCTGCTACATAGAGTCTCACCTTTTCTCGCGTAAGCCCGAAACTGCGTAAAAAGAGTCCGAGCGCTGAAAGTTTGGCCAGCACTCGCTGAAAGAAATTATTTGCCAAGCGCTTGCAGAAAATGCTGTATTGCTGCCGCTGGCGGAATATGCGACCGTAAAGGAAGTGCCGCCCGTTGAAGGTTTGGCCACGCCTTAAAATTCTGCTGACCGCTTGCAGAAAAGCGCGAGTTTGCGGAACGCCTGCCCAGGGGATAATCTGAGTGCTTGCAGGGAAGTTCGAACGGTGCTATCCTTGTGTCCGCGGCCCAAAATTTGAAAGTCGTGAATTTGGCTGAGATTTGGTCGATGGGGATCACAAATATTAATTCTTTTTTCACAAAAATGTCACTTGGCGGGGCAACGGTGGGTGTAAGTAGAAGAGTCAATTCAGTTTTGGCTGAAATTTGGTCTGGGGATTTTCTGAGGTGCTAATCACGAATACCATATTCTTTCTGCACTCTGCGAAGGGCTTAGTCCCTGCGGTTTGGCACGAAAGATGAGGGGGACGCTGTGAGCACACTGACTAGAAGTACACTGAAGGAGGAGGAGGATACTGTGACTTTCTTCAGTAAGCTTTTTAAAAAAGGGGTTTTGCAGACGGGACAGTTTCTTGATTAACGGAGAAAAAGTGGACAACTTCACTATGGAGTTTTAGAGGGAAAAACTTAGTGCATTTTGGCTAAGAATTTGGGAAAGGAGAACGGATATTTTAAGGCTAGAGTGATGAGGAGATTAAGCTCTTGTGGAAGACAGTCTTTCCACTGGCGGTCTCCAGCGCTATCCTGATTTTGACTTGTCTCAGCGTCAGCACGCCGCAAATCTTTCTTCCGTCTGCTTTGCTTAGGCAAAAGCACCGCAGGGTGTTCCGCGCGCGATAGTGGTCCTGTGTGGAAAGCAGTACGGACGCGAATCGTCCACCCTCCTCTAATGCTTTGACGGAAAAAGCTGCTAAAGCTTGAGAAAATTTTACACCGAAAAAAACGTACAGTATATCAGCTAAGCAAAGCCACAGAAAAGAGAGCTACGTGAAGGATGCTGTACGAGAGAGTCTAGAGGAAAAGCGCGAGCTGTAAGGTGTGCGTTTCTATTCTGGAGAATGAGCTTCACTAAACGCGACATCTTTCTTGACTCCAAACATTCTTCTGCAAGCAGTCGTACTTTCGTTATTAAAACTACATGCGCACCATGCCTTTCCAGTAGAACTTTTCAATCAAAACATCACTAGATAAAGTTTATTAGCTTTTACGGCATTGAAAAAGTGTTATACGACGCTTTGGTGACTCAATACAACATTTCTCACACCTGCTAGCCATTGGGCCGCTAGTTTTGTTAAAAAGTTACTAGCGAGATGCCGTCGGTCACCGCGTGCTGTGTGCAAGCTCACATATCAAGTTACAAATGGCTTGACGATTTGTGTATCATCATTCAGAATATGTGCTCGTAATCGTTCATACTAAAGTTTAAACGGGATGTTGTATTGTGCATATCATGTAATATACGTGGTATCTCACGTTTTAGGTCGAGCTGGACCTCATATGGAAGCGGCAGAATCGAGTTGCACCCCTTCGGTTGATGCTTCCGTTCCAAATGTAAGTTTCCATCTCGTGATTGCTTTTTAGCTCATTCAGCTTTATAAAAATTATATCTTGGAAACTCGCTTTGCCTCAGCTATTGAAAATTTGTCGTATTCCACTGACTAGACCTGCAGATCTATGGAATAAGTTGTCGCCAAATATGTGGATCCACTCTTTTGCCATATCATATACACGTGCGTTGTGTTTGTCGTTATGTTGGTCTTACTAATGCTTTGAACACATTGAACTTTCGTCAAACAATTCCTCATTATCTAGGGAAGTGGCATATTTATCGCTTTGTATTCTACATCTGAAAGTAATTTTGTGTTGTGATGTAAACTTTTACATGGAAGTTTTTGAATTAGGAAAAGTTACATAGTCAGTTCCATATAGTTCTGAGTATTACTTGCATATAGACCGTCATTGTTTTAAGCCTTTCCAACGCATAATAGTTTTTTTCGGAATTGGTGTGGCAAGCCTCATAGCGATAAGGCGTATCAGGAAAACGGCTGTTGATCTCATCTTGCAGCTTTGTCTTCTATCTTGAAACTCTTGGGAACTATAATAAATGCAAAGCAGCAAAATATCTGTTTGTCAGTCATTTGAATTAAAGGAAGGTTTTTGAAGTAACTCGGCGTTCATGCAATTGTTTTGCTGCCCATTTTTACTATGTGACATACAGCTTTATGCTTTCCCAACTCTGGAGAATGTATATTTTTAAGGCATGTGAATTGAAGCGGCGTCGTGTGAGTCGTGGGAATGACGAAAGCCCATTCGGCAGCACTTCTCCAGAGGTTAGAATTAACTTGTGGCGCTTGCAATTTGTCGGCTCTTTGTCTCTAGCATACACATAGCTTCATTCCAGCTTGTGTCCACGTTGCCACTGAAAACACTATCTGTAGAACGGCCTGCGCGTGCTGCAAGTTCGTCTCCACATTTCACCAACTATCGAGAAAATCGCGATGAGGAGTTTAACCTCGATCGAAGCAGGTGCGATTATTTTGTGTTTTTGTTTTTTGAAAATTTTTACACCGTATGCATTCCGAATGCAATGCTTAAAAAACGGTATTCGAGAGCCATCATAGTTTAACTGCAGCTCGATCGCTCTCTTGTAACTCAAAGACTAAGCCCATATCTAGATAACATCTTCATCGTTGTTAGCGCCTATGGTACCCTTAGAAATGGCATTGCTATCGAATTGTGCATTGATTCACCCATGTTGAATTTTTTGGACATAAATACCCGGAGGTCTTCTCTTTGTTAGAGGAATTCTCATCGTCCTTTTTGGATTGCACACATTAAACCTTTCCACTGATATTTGGCACACAATAATGTAATCTATATAATACTCTTGTCAAATCTATCAGCACGGGGGGAGGGGGGGGGGGTTCAGAGGGCTCTGTGCTCAAAAGGTGGCTGGGAAGGTTGAAGGTTTGAGGAATTGTTATAGAAGACTGCTCGTCTCTATAAGCACCACGTCTAGTCTGACCATGCAGCATTGCTTACGTCGAGAATTTGCCTCAACTCGGCTTGGGGTTTTGCGCGTTTCTCGGAAAAGTTCGTGTTTTCCCTCCATAGGAGACGCTCGGCAACGCTCGGCGCAGTGTTATGAGTTAAGGGTTCCGAACGACAGTCTTCAACCTCGGCGGGAATAGCACCATTCATTCAACTTGAATGAATGTTTTGAGAAACGCTGTTTTTGTCATTTTCGAGCTCCCCAAGGTAACTAGATTTTAGGGAAATTCGCACATATCTTTTTCGTAGTTGTCATCATATCACTTCGCAAAGTTTGCATAGTTTGTTCGCTGATGTACCTGTTTTGAGCAAGATGTGGCTTGCATTCTGTCTTTTCATTGTCTCTAACATGTTTGGCAAGTCAAGGCTGTGCTCGAAGCTCATATGTAAAGCGCTGCCGGGGTTCATAACAAAATCGTTTCTGGTCGAAGACCATATACATACAAATAATCGTAGTCTTTCACTCCAGATGATTGATATGTTATTTTGCACGTCTTTACATTGCTTTTCGCCAAATTTGCGGTTAGAACTGCGTCAATTGCAAAGATTTGCATTCGACAGAATTTGCACCGTCTCTGATTAGTGTACTCACTTCGCTACCACTCACATAATTTAGACCCTTGCGGGCATCCGTAGGACATGGATGTGCGGGCAGTCGACCTACGTTGAGCCATGGATTTGCGTCTACACCACGTGTCTCTTCGTCGTACCGTACACGTGAGCCTCGGTATCCGTCGCCTTCGGACTTCCTTTCGCATTCGTTTCTCAAACAAGCTGTTATTTTTGATGTGAGTTCTAGTGCTGATTATCCGCATGAGTTATTATGTTAAGAATAGCCAAACCGCAAATTTTTTACTGGCATCTTCTCAGCAGATTTCCATTTCATTCCCAGCCACCTGGAATATGGAAAGAAATACATGCTCATCGAACGATCTGTAGCCAGCACATCACTGCATTGTACCTTGTTTTTCTTTCTACTGGAGGGATCTGGAGGGGTCCTTATTAACGTCTTTTCTGAAATATTTCTACATGCGTGCATTGTGGTGCAGTAAGTTGTTGAGGCTATCTCAGAACCCTGAACCCAACTCTCAATAGAGGTGCCTAGTTTTGTCTTGATCCTTTTTACGTCCAGGATATTTTTTTGATTATTTTAATGATGATGGTATGCTAACGTGTGCATTTAATCTCGTCCGGTCATTTTGCAAAAACAGCAAAAATTGTGTTGGTCCCGAGGTTACAATACTGAAAATACCTGTATTCTTACAAATCTTTTGATTTCTGCAGTATGGTCTGACATCTTGGTTTCTTAGTACGCCAACAACATCTTTGCGCATAGCCACTACCTACAGTTGTTGGAAGTCTCATCAATACAACGACTGACAGGTTCAAATATTTCTCATTCCTTCTCTGATGCCCATTTGCAGTAGTTTGTCGTTTTCCATTGTGCTTACCAATTTTTAGCTTGTTTTTTCATGTTTGCATGCATAAAGGCACCCTTCAACTAAAGCTGAAGCTATGGTTTTGATGCAGTATAGCAGGCCTTAATGTTGAATTCTTGAAGTCCCGTTGCACAGGGTAGACTCTGAAGCAGCTCCAGATGTAGCTGCTGGGTCACCACGCCTATTAAAGGCAGTGTCCGGGCAAAATGGGGGTTCTGAGTTTTGTCTGCCATGTGAAAGTAGCCCCCCTGAGACACAACATCGCGCAACTGCGAGCATAAAACGTTCGACCTAAAGCAAGAAAAACGATTGCAAATTGGGGAAACTTACGCCTTGGGGCGGGGTCCTCCGAGCTGTTTGAATTCCTGCCAGACGGCAGAGTACGTATGCCGCCACAGTTAAAAACCGTGCGCTCTTTGCAACCTCTGCGTCTTAGCCTGGCGGGGATCCCCAAATTTCGAAATGTGAGGACTTGGAAAATGCATGTTCTCGCCGTTTTGGCGCCTTCTGATGTGGATTTTCGGATTCAGCGTTGCGGATAACCCCAGATAAGTTGATTTTTTAGAAGTCGAGTTTCTGCCCGGACACTGCCTTTAACGTGGGTGGATTGAAGGCAGTGAGCCGGACCTAGACTTCGTGGCGCCCAGAATTGTCGAAGGTCAAATTCATTATGAGAAACAAATTTTCACCTCTAGGTATTCTAGAGTTCGGTTTCGTAGCACCATCTACGGTTATGGACGTGGCGACCCAGCAGCATCCACGTTGTGGGTCGATTTTTCCGCTTAGGATTACAGCTTTTGCAGAGGAATGGCAATGTTAGGGACCTCGTGTGCTACATAATCACCAACTCAAGGCAGCGTCCAGGCTCTAGAACATGGGGGTCTCATGATTTGAGGGCCCTAACTAAGCCTTTGTGGCAGCTCAGGTAGTGCTCTAACGGCTGACAAATCCCCCTCGAAGATGGACCCCAGGACCGTATTTCGCATGGACTCATGGTGCGACGCGCGGATCCTCGCGCGAAAGTGCCATGAATCCATGCGCATACGATATTGGGGGTCCAGTTTGGAGGCGAGTTTCTCACAAGAGAATGGTCAGAAGTCGAAGTAGCCAATCCAAGCAAGCTGCGTACTCTTCGATGCAGCATTCAAAGCTGATTTCGAATCTACGCTCCTTGTCTGCTTAGGGCCTTTATGGACGAAGTTGTGAGCAGTTTTAGTGCGAGAAAATCTTACATAGAAATTGCGAAGTTTGGCACATTGTTGCAATTTCAGCTCACCTTTAGGCTCTAAGAGTATAAAGTAACCTAGCTGCATGTTTTGGTACAGTATTAAGTCGAGCATGGCTGTGTTACTGCCAAGTTTGCTCTTTGCTTATACGATTTCTCAACAAAATAAGGGCAACGGCTGATAACTTCGCCCACATGGGCGCTAAGCAGATATGGAATACAGATTCGAAGTCAGCGTCTTATACTGCATCTAATGGTATGCAGCTTGCTTGAATTGGCCACTTCGATTCTTGAGGCACGCGCCATATTTGATCCGCTTGATCCGCTTCGTTATTGGTCAATCCAGTGAACTGACCAATAGCGAAGCGTATCAAGTATGGCGGGTGCCTAACCATTCTCTTCTCAGCCGTTAGTGAGTCACCTGCACTGCCGCTTGGGCAGTGCCTCAAATTGGGCCCCAAAATTACCTTCCACGTAAAATCGCCATAGGTCCAGATCTGCCTGGACGCTGCCTTCAGCTGAGTTTTTCTTCGTTTTCCGCCGTAAACACGGTCACACACATTTCATAGCTTCTTTGTCTCCGTTTTACTGTAGTATTAACTGGAGAAGAGTTTTTGGTACGAAATGTAGAAAAATTGCTCATCTTTAGCATCCACATTCATGCTGTCACAAGACTACAATTAGTTTCATCGATAAAGATTAGGCAAGCAAGTGTAGTGGAAACCATGACGTCATTTGATAGACTCTCATTTCTTGAAGTTGGGTTGGCACTGTTTATGTTTACTTTTTATTTTTTATCTGATCAATTCCAGCGAAATGTGCAACTGAAAAAGTTTCTGGAGGGTGGACTTTGGACTCGTTTACGCAACGGGAATACACCTCCGCGAACCTCTTCGCCACAATCTGAACCTGTGCCGACAAACAAGCCTGTATCCGAGAGAAAGTCGAAGACAACGAAACGAAAACGTGATGTGGGTTCTGATTGATCTTTTTGCTTCGAATTAATTTTTGTGTTTCTATCCAATGTAACTGTGCCGATCTTCGTGTGAATCTCTTTTCTCTTTTTGAAATTGTGGTAGAATTAATGCTAAAATTTCTACTGTTAGTTATTTATGACATTTTACACAAACGCATTCATCTTTCAATTGTCATCATAGGAAAAAACTGCGGAGAAAGAAATCACTTACCAATTTAACCAGGTGATTGCAGCCATGAGTCTTCGGGTTGACTGCTGCTAGCGCCTTCCTTTTTCCATTTTGCTGGCTCCTTCCGCGTTACATGAATGGCGCATAGTTGTGTTGCTTTGTGTCAATATTCATCTGTAAAATGATGACTAAGTCAGCTCAAGGCATGTGTGTGAGTTCCCCTCTTAATTTTTGAATCCACCTGCCTCGAGCATTGACCATGATGTCCTCTTCCAAAATCGTTCAGTCATGCGGATTGTAATATATGATAGGTTTCAAGATAGTGCTATTGTGTAATAGGCTTGTGTGATAGACGTTCTTCCTTCTGCACATAATCTTTTTTATGCGATACTGTAGTGTTCCGAAAATTTACTTTCTTTTTTTTGCCTTTTTCTCCATACTTTCTTCTCGGTTAGTATTTTCGGTGCCGAATGTTCCGCTTTAGTACTTGTGAGTGATTAGATTGGGCACTCTGCTCTTGTTCTCTGAACATTTGGCTTGATGACGGGTGCTTCTCTTCACCTCTTGTAAAATCTTCTCGATGTTTTCAAGGTGTCCTTAAATCTGTAAATAGGTTTGATCTCTGTACTATATTGTTGTGTCGTATTTTGGACATTATATAGCATTTTACTGGTAGTAATCATTTGGTACAATTACGTGGTAAATTTAAATGTCAAAGAAGATCGTTTATCTAAGAAATTAGCTTATCTGCAATGTAGTTCCTGCATGTTTGTTGATATTTAATAAACTGCTTAGACTCAGTCATGCACAAACACAATGTTCTCTTCGCTTGCATACCTTTCAGCTTTCTATTTTTGATTTGATTGTCCTTATTGAGTCCAGCAATAATTAAAGGCAGCGTCCAGGCAGATCTGGACGTATGGGGCTCTAACGTGGAAACAATTTTCGGGGGTCTAACTAAGATACTGCCCAAGCGGCAGCGCAAAAGGTGCAGTCGCAGCTGAGAAATTCGTCCGCAAACCAGCCCCCGTGACCGTATTCGCATGGATTCACGGCTCAGCACATCAGTTTCGCGCGGGTCCTAGCGCGAAAGCGCCACGAATCTATGCGAATACGGTCACGGGGGCTGGTTTGCGGACGAATTTCTCAGCCGCGACTGCACCGTTTGCGCTGCCGCTTGGGCAGTATCTTAGTTAGACCCCCGAAAATTGTTTCCACGTTAGAGCCCCATACGTCCAAATCTGCCTGGACGCTGCCTTTAAGAATCAACATCGCATTGATGTCAGTGTTAAACTGCGGGACGAGCTGCAAAGGGTTTATGCGTATATTCGAGTGGTAGTGAGAATAATATTTGCTTTTGCACATCAATCACAAATGCGCAGAAAATTAGGGATGCTATCATGGATTCCATACATTTTTTTTTTGAGAATACGGATGAAGTGTTTCTAGTCCCATATAATTCTTTTGGTGAACATGGACTGGGCACTCTCCTTCATAAGTAGCTGTGCTGGTTGGCTAACTTTTTCAATTTCTGAAGTGTTATATGAAACTGCTCGACTTTGTGATGGTTATGCCTTAGCGCATCTAGTGGTACGCGTCAGAGTCACGATTTCCCCTAACAAGTGGCTGAAAATCGTGTTTTATTGGGCGTCATTAGCCAGTCGAGAATGTAGTGCACAATGTTTGACACATATAACATTCGTTCGAATGTTCATGTGAAGAGGGTAAGTTTTGAAAAGATTGAAATTGCTGAAACAGTTGATGGTTTATGGAATTAGACACATTCGGTGGTCAGCAAGGTTGTAAAATTATCGGTTAGCTGGAAAGTAGCAAACGTTGTCAGGATGATATCTTTGGTAAGGGACATACCTCAAGTGATTTTAGTCCGCGATCTGGCAATTTGCCAGATGTCTCCAAATTCAATGGTACACCCCAAATGCACAGCATGTATAACTTTCGTAGGTTGATAAAATGCCCCATCTTCCGTACATTCAGAAACCCCGTAGGATGAGTTATGAACATTTGGATATTGCCAAATCGCGTGGCGACTGAAATCGCTTGAGGTATGCCCGACTTCCAGATATTTCATGATTGCGCGAAATTTTCCCCGGTTGCACTACAGTATCTAACTTTGGAGGTTGAATGGACTCATTTGTGTACCTATACAATATCTCAGAATTCAATAACTTTTGAGGAATGCTACCTTGTGCCTACTTCATGGGACCTGTTCCTGATCAGAGAGATGACTGCCGTCAAGTTCCTAATCGAGATGCGACCAGCATTGATTTAGCGGACATTGGAGTGGAGATGTCAAATGTATGGTATCCAACTTTCTTTTCAATTTCAAAGTAGAAAGAGGATCTTAGAAAGATTTGTGGACTAGGGAGTTCTTTGCTGAGCAATATGTACGTGATTTTAGTCAGACGATAGATTTGTGTATAATGTTGTCTGTTGAAGTATGCCTCTGATTTTGATCGGGCAATACGACTGGATTGTCCTGCATTTTGAAGAATATCAATAAAGTGTCCATGAGGTTTTTCCCGGCCTAGTTTATACCCTTCAAGGTCTATTCATGTATTATCTGCTCTCTTGCTTTCAGATCGATATGAGTCCTGACTGGGAGAATCATCTAGACAACCTCGTCAGTGTTTATGAAATGAATCATCGCGACGAGATACATATATCCAGGGCTACTATGCCAGATTTCGACTCTAAGGTACGTGAGCTTCACGGCTTCTGAGGCATCCATACTTTTTGGGGTCTAGATGAAGACTTTCTTCGAAGAACATTTGCATCGCGATCCGGAGATACGATTTATTAAGTCTGGAAGCGGATATTTCGATGTGCGCAGTAAAAATGTTTGTTTATATTTTCAAATCCCCTTATCTTTCGTGATATTCCTGTCTTTATGGTTAAGGACGAATGGATCAGGATTCCCGTGAAGAGCGGCGATTTTTTGTATCTGCCGTCTGGGATATATCACCGATTTACTACAGACTGGAAAGTGAGTTTGTTTGCTGCTTCGGTTCAGCTTTAAGGTATCTTCTAGAGGTTACAGATAGAAATTAGTATTCGGTTGTCCAACTTTGCTGTTGCCCTGAATTTGTATCTACTTTTCTTTCTTGAAGAACGCGTCCGGCAATCAGCACAGACGAATTTTCTATACACCAAATTTCACGATTACAGTCTCTGTCAGCAAATGCATGATATTTTACTCGGCTTTCATTGTTTTTTATTTGGTCGCCATTATAGACAAGTCCAAGCAGACCTGAACTTTCTTGGTCACTAGCATCATCAGTATTTACTAGGACCTCCAACTAAAACTACTGCGCGAATCTGGCTGCAGACGCTGTTTCTGACTGTGTGAGGAGAAGGCAGACGTGCAAATTAAACGCAGCAGCTTGTCAAAACCGAACATCCGAGATTTTAGACATGGAAGGTCGACATGGAAGGTCGCTTACACCCCAAACATGAGAACAGAGCAGTCCGAGCGCACAGCATGCTGCCCTTCCCTAAACCCGTTACGCGCAAGGCATTCTAATACTACCCGGGACGTGCTCCACTCATCAATTCAAAATAGGAGGCCTTGGGAAAAGGTGGTTTTCTGCCATTTTCGCGCTCTTCAAGGTGGATTTTCGGGATCAGCGCCTTGAATTACCCCAGTCAAGCAGAAAAACTTCAAGTCGAGAATCTGCCGAGCGGCTGACCTAGAAGCCATTCTACGTCCGCCTACTTTTGTTCGACGACTGCCTTCTCAAACGAAATTTTCTCTGCCTTTGACGCATTTTCAAATGGCAAGCACTAATGAACGATGATATCTGATGATAATCGTCTTCCGACAAGATTAAGGCTAGAGGAGTTTGTCCACAGATCTCAATACATCTCAAAATGGAGTAACGACAGGGGTCACGGTAACTGGAAACACTCAAAAATTTTCTGAATCACTCAGTTGCTTAGCCTTGGCCCTTTGTTCTCCCCTGCGAATGACAATGACAATGACACGACAAATGCTATCTGGGCCCCAAAAATTTTTCGTCATGGATTTTGCTAAAACTTGGCCCAGGTGGGTTATTCGGCCAGCTGATCACAGATATCGTACTGGTTTTGTACGGCAGCTCATCTTTTGGGGTTACGGTGGGTATACGGTAGGGGGTCAAAATCGTGGATTTGCCTGAAACTTGGCACAGGGGGATAATTTGACATGCTGATCACGGATATCTCGTTTTACCTCACGGTGACGTTTTCCTGTGTGGATGCGGAAGGTATACGGTAGGTGTACGGTACGCGGCAAATCTTCTTCCTTGTGTTTGCTTAGGCAAAGCCGCCGCAGAGTGCCGCGTAACAATGGTCCTGTATGAAAGGCATGACGGTAGGGCGAGTCGGTCTAAACCCAACACCAAACGCAAAGTTTCAGGCAAATTTGTCATTCTTGAGCCCTACCGTAGACCTACAGTAACTTTATAAAAAGGCCTCATTTTGCGTAAAGAGTATGGTTTTCGTGATTGGCATGTCGAATAGACCTCCAAGCCAGGTTTCAGCGAAATCCATGATTTTGACTCCCTACCCCGATGCCTAAGTCTGCGCGCTCGCCCTCATTTTGCAACGTATTATTGTGGGGATTGACTTGATTCACGCATGTTTCCTCCAGATTTCGAAGCACTTATGCGTTAAATGTCGAAATATCCTATCGCTGTGATAACTGTCAAAAAGTCACTTCTTCCAGGAAAATATTGTGGCTATACGCCTTTTTCGCTCGTGTCCGAAATGGGAGGCCTTACCTCGATGGAGCGGCGGAGACTCTGTGGAAGAGAGAGCGAAATACATAGAGATTATAAATGCTGTAAAGCAGTCCTGATGCCATTGTTTACGAGTATTTGCAAAATGTGATGATCATTGCACTTACAATATCCTAGGACTACCTCCCTTCATCTTTGTAAATCGTGATTTGCCATGGCTCTTACATGCAGAGTATTGCTCAAAACATTCCACTAGTTATTTGCTGCGAGATTTATTAGCTATTTATGAACATGGAGAAAATAAAAGAAACTCTGCATAAACATACGAAAAGATTCACGATCATATCAATATCAACAAAGCACGACCAGTTGGAACTTGAAAAATACAGTGTCAGATACGCAGTATGACATCTTGCATTCACCAATATCGGGACAAATAATTTAAAATCTTTTTGTACACATATGTTTTCTATTCTGTCTAAATCTCTATATGTGAAGAGATGTTAATACCCATATTAACTCGCATAGTCTGACAGCTTCTTGAACATCTTTTTGAATTGCGATACCTGTAAAGTTGATGCTTTCCAGGTAGCTGCAGGTTTTGAACTGACCTTGTTATTTGGAAACAGCTTGGCTACCGTCATTTCGAGTAATTGGCCCACTCTTCGAAATCGTCGTGTAGCCTGAAATTTGTTACTTGTATTAAACGTTGCTTTACTAGTGCTGGTTCTTCCAGAATTACCCCTAATGGCAGAATTGAGCTATCCATTGTGGGATGAACTTGCATGTAAGACACGTTAAGCGTTAAAACGTGATGTTTCAGTGTTCCAAGCTCGATCATGTTCAATCCTAAACTTGCAAGAAATAATATCGATGTGAGTTGCGAAATAAGAAAATGATTTTTTTCACCTTCATTACTAGTACTAAGGATGGCAATTTCTGGTGGGAAAGAATTTGGTCGTAATGTTATAAAACCATGCATTATTCTCGTGTCATCCTCGTACCATGATGTGCTTCTGAAACTTTGGAATTAGGATAGACTTAGGCGACAAAGTTTGGGTTACGGCATACATTGGTATATACCGGGTGTCCAAAAATCGTGCCTACTGTTTGATCGCTAATGACTCCTGTATGAAGTCTTTGGAGAAGTTTTAGGTATCATTTTGTAGAGCTGGCTTCAGCTTAGATTTACAGCATAGAGCGAATGCAGATTGGTCTTATCTAGTGCAGGGTTACGGTGGGAACTGTGCGAAGGTTTTGAGCCACGGAGGTCCATATTTTCCTCACAAGGGAAATCTGGTTGATCGAAGCAGCCTTTTGAGATGGGTTGTATACCCCGAGGGCACAAAACGCTGATTCCAAATCTGTCCTCCCTATCTGCGGCGCTTTCCTGGACGAGGAGTCATGAGCGTTTAACGGAGCAAAAAAAAATGAGTGTTTTTCTGGGACAAAAACAGTTGCTAAAATTCTCCCAGCGCTTAGATGAGACAGCCGGTGTACGGGTATATCTCTTTTAAGAGTATTTATTTTATAGAGGCTAGAAAGATTACCATTGGTCCATTTAAGCGCTAGGAATAATGTTACTATTTTTTTAATATCATTTGCACATTTAATTTTTCTTCTCCAGTAAACGCTCATAACTCTTCGTCCATAAACGCGCCGCAGATTTGGAATCAGCGTTTTATGCCCTTCAACATGGTATACAAATCATCGCAAAAGGTCACTTTGACTGACCATCCTTCCCTTGTCAGTTAACGACCTGAAAACTCTTATACAAGGCTAATTAGAGTGGCTGATTCTAAATATGAGGTTTTTCATCCTGATGCTTTCTTGAGAAGTTATACTAGGTAAGCAGAAGCAGCGTTATTTCGCGTTTCTAGAAAATGTGGTTTCATCGCTGAGAAAGCTTCACAATCTTGTACAGAGATGAGTGTTGAACTCGGCGCCTATAAAAGCCCTATCACATAAGCTCTTAGATTTTTTCGAAATTACTCGAAACGGCCGCTTATTCACAGTGACGCCATGACCGGGAGTTCCTATCGTAATCTTACAGTAATGAAGAGCGATCAGGTGATTCACTACATAAGTAAATCTAAGCTGAAGCTAGCTCTACGAAATGGTACCTAAAGCTTCCTGAAAGATCTCATGACAAGAGGGTTATTGACAGTCAAACAGTAGGTACATTTGGGACATACTGTATATTAAGATGCAATACCGTCATTCCCTTTGATAACACTTTCCTGCATGCCTTGAATAACATTTATAGAGTTTTGCCTTTCTAGTTTTGCAGTACGTTTCAAGTCCGCTGCACTAGAAATTGTAGGCGAACACTGTTTCACGAGACGTTTAACGGTGTAGTGAAAAATATGAACTAATTTTTTTCAGATCCAGACGAAGACGAAATGTTTGAAACGTCGAGTCAGTAAAATTCCACCAATCAAGCTGGTTTGGCATAAAGATATCACAAATCGACCAAAACTGCTGAAACTATGTTTGGTTTCACGTTTTGAGCAATTAAACTTGTGTTTGCCACGTCAGTTTCCATGCTATGAGTATGTATGTACTAGAGTAATCAATGTTCTACTCCAGTATGGAAAAGTTTGAAAAGGTTTTTCTTCGGTTAAGGCTGATTATTAAAGAATATCACTGACGTGAGATTTAGTGAAGGTGGTCCAAACATTGGTACGCTAGCTGGAGCAATATCAAGTATTTCCTCATACTCATTCGAGTAGAGATCTGTTGGGTATCGTAGTCCTTTTGCAGCCTGAATACTTGACAAGCCATGTACGTAATGTCGATGTCATGGTAAGTTCCATACCTGTGAATACCATCTTCCTACGAAAAATTGTAAAGGTTCTAGAGCTGGTGGGAGAGGAGTTTCTGGTTCATCTGGAACAGCGAACACGGTTGAACCAGTCTTCATGAGGTACTCTTTCGAAGAACACAAATCTATGCGCAATTCTGCTAACTGCAACTAATTCAAGCGTCAAAATTGCTACGAAAGCTAGTCCTCGTCGTCTGGAAACTGTACTTTTTTATTTCATGATTCTTTGCTTCTGCAGTTTGCATTCACTTATGAAGAAACTCAACTACTGTTTGCTTCTCGTTATCAAGGCAGTATAGAGAAATATGAGCTTACCGTAATTTGGATCTGGCGTACAAAGGTTGCAAGCGAGTGCACAGTTCACATCGAAAAAGTTCGTCTGAGTCAATATTGTGTGGCATTTGTCTTCCAGAGCCCATCGCTCGCAACTTTTATAGATATTTCGACACTTTCCTGGAAGCAGTGTGAAGTAAGATAGCAAAGAAACTTACTCGTATTCACTTTATTCATCACCGTGCAAAGTCAGGAGTTAATCCTTTTCAAATTTTGACATGCCTTACCCTTTGTTTGCTGTAGCCGAAACTTATATTACATCTCACTGCAGGAAAGTAGCTATAAATGCTCCTTCATTGCTCCCATATTTGGGAGCTTTTTTAAAAGTGTTTTTTTTTGTGAGCTCAATTCTATAATAAACATAAGTTACATGTAGTGATATAATATATGAAAATGAGAATATAAAGGCTAGAAAGTGAGTGTCATTGCTGAATTTTCGAAAACGATGAGTACGTAAAGGAATGAATATTATAAAGTGATCATGTGTATCTGGCTATGAAAATAATTAATGCGTTGGATAACTGAGGATTATGAAAAGGACTATCGCGAAATATAATAATTCATAAATATGAATTAAAAACAGAATAATGGCACTGAAGCATATCAGATAACTAGTTGACTTACCCGGCTCCGCCCGGCCCTGTCATTATTATATTCGTAATCAGCATGCTCGATTACCCCCCCCCCCCCTATGCCACCTCCCAGCCCCGTAGCTCAAATTTTGCAAAAAATCGATAAAATCGATATCAATCGATGAAGAAAAGTAGCCTATGACACCCGCCGGGGCCCGAAGTTTATGTGTGCCAAGTTTGGTCCGGATCGGTTCAGAAATGGAATTTTCTGTTCGGAACATACGTACACACATACAGACAGACAGACAGACATACAGACAAACAGACATTCAGCTTTATATATAAGATAGTCTCAATTTTTTAGATTGATTGAAGTTCTGAAATTATCTATAGTACGTCCACGCAATAGCGTTCTTAGCCCCGACGAATAGTTTCAACAGATACAAAAACTATCGTAAATTTTGTATATTTTTGGAAATCATATTCTAACTTTTTATTTGTTTCATTATAGCATCATCTGAACTATCTCATCGAGCCACTCAGTCAGTCAAAAGTACTCATGTCTTAGTTCGATTCAAAAATGCCCGGCAATGTTATAGTTGTTTTTCAGTCTTTTAACCCTAGTTACTTGGTTGTTTGTAATGGATGATATTCTCCCAGCCAAAGGGATGAAGGGTTTAGAATTCTTATAAAAAAAATTGAAGTCACAAGTGAAAAGAATTCTAACGAACACTCATTCAGTAAATGAATTTGCTAGAAAAACTAGTTAGGCGAAAGTGAAGTATCAAACCTACGAAACTCAGAACTGTTAGCTGTTACGGGTTGCTGCACATTCGTTAAGCTAATGTATGTGGATCTTCCGCTTGACACTATACCTAGTTCCAGTTCCGTGTCTATATCTCTATGCAATTGTTAAGAAAAACTTTGAATGGCTTATTGAGCTGCTTTCGTCGAAAGACGTGTTCGAGGGAGAGGACTGGTCAGGGTGCATGCTGCGAAGGCAATCTGTCAGTAATGTTAGCTACATCAAATACAGTAGAAAAGGATTTATGGAGAACTCAAATTTCAGGGAGTGGCAAGTGCGACACTGAAAATGAACAAGCTAGTTTTTGATACAAGATATGGTATCCAAAGAGACTTTGATTGATGTAGAGATGCATGAAGTGCCTGCTTGAGCGAGCTCTTGAGAAAAGAAGTGCTGAACGCTTGAACCTTGGGTTCTCATATAAGTTTTAGCGCTTACGTGAGCGATTAGCGGCATCAAAAACTCGTTAGGAGAAATCGTCGTAAAGCCGAGATTTTTTCGATTGTGTCATCTCCAAAACAGATCCATTCAAGCGACAAAATCCGATTCTAGGTGATTTGAAAAACTAGAGATTGTCAACTGAGCTAACGACTGTTGTGTGCTGAAAAACATGCGTACGTCGGACAGGTTTCGTTCAGCCGCAACAGGGCGAAATCTCACGAAGTCCCATTACGCGAACCTGTGCATCGAAGCGATTCACGGCTAACCGTATGCGCTTCAGTTGCAAACATTCTTCGCTTGAAGAGCTCAAGTTTGGGAGTTTCAAACTTTTTAAAAGCTGTTCTGTTTCGGAAGATTAGGAAACAACATATGCAAATTAGACCTTGAATTGACATCAGTTCAAGAGAAATACGAGGGAAAATGAGAGATGTTGGAAGGAGGTTTCATTCCTAACAAATAAGCGCAATTTGGTAATGACGAGCCACTCCGTGCACTAACAGGGGAAGGATTAGTCGAAGTGGCGTTTCCATACAAAATGTATACTATCTTATAGAGCATGGAAAGCTGATTTTAAACCTGCTTTCGGTATCTGCAAAGCGCTTCTGGAAGGGGATTTATGGAAATTTAATTTTATTTCAATAAATTAATTTAATTTAATTTCAAGATCCTTCCTCTGTAAGAAGCTTTAATAGGTTTACCGAAATAGATCTGATAAGTAATAGGTGCAGTTTCACAGAACCAAAATTGGAATCAAAAGGGTTAAAGATTGTGCTGGCCACATACGAATATTTCTTTTGATTGAGAGCTTTTCACTGTCCTAACTCAGTTTCCTTTACCTCCTCGACATCAAGGAGAACTGTCGGTAGGGTTTCGTGGAATATTTGTTCCAGCTGGCCGCTGATTAAACTCCCTAAATTTCCAGCAGCTACGTTTATTCGAAGCAATAGCACCACTGTCCAAGCCTATCGGCTGTGATTATCGTAGTAGACTTGAAAATTTTTTTTGAGCGTGTAGAAAGTTGTTCGACAAGGTCGTTGTGTTGCACTCAAACTTTTTCCATTTACCCTCAAACGAAAAATTCACCGGAATAATGGGATCTGAAGAATTATACACGCGTGAACGAGAAAAACTGAATCTTGTCAAGATCGGTAGCTATTACGTGATGAGAATACTGCGTAAACTTGATTAGAGCGCTTGTGCTAGAACTCGTTACATGATGTAGAGGAAGAGAACGATGCTGTCGACACTATCAATGACCATGCAAGATATACGTACATTAGGAAATCGGGATAAGAAATCGACGTCGAGCGAGGGTGGATTGATTGCTGAGAAGAGAACATGCCATTGAGGTGACGAGATTGTACGAGATTTTGAAGTACGTAGGCCAAGCAAGTTATAGGCACAGAATTGTTTGAAACTATACTTTGAAAATTCGGCAAAAGATGCAAGGTACCAAGAGGGTATACGTTTGGAGAACGAAAAATAGAGAAAGTAGACTCACTGTGGCAAAATCGTCCCATCCATCCTTGCGCGCATTGGCAGTTCAGCTTTCCCGGGACACATTTGCCCCCGTTCAAGCACGGATTTGCTTTGCAGGTCTCGGCTGTGAACCTCTTGAAGATAAGCTGTTGCATCTTGGGAAGCGCTAAAATTTGCAATTCCGGGAAAGCATTAAAGCATAAGCTATAGTTTCTAAAGAAATATATCAAGAGTTTGCGAGGGAGCGCGGCTCTTTTGTTGCTCAGCGAACTTGCCCTCGCGGGTTAACAATACATTGTAAGAGTAACATAGCAGCTGGGAATAATCAAGAGTATATGATAACCTGGTTGTAGCAGTAGAGTAAGTAGCAGGATCGTAGCATAGTACATGGTTGTATCCGAGTGAAGGAGCGCGCGACGAACCGGCTGTTTTGATGTGAACGACGAGGCTTGCAGAGCGGCTGGATATCGCCACCCCCCTAACCACTACCGAGACTGGCTTCTTCCCCTACTGAGAATGTGTCGTCGTCGTGTTCGAGTGTCAGATGGCACACCACACTTTTTTACCGTCCGTCTCTTTCTGCTTCGACAACTCTCTAACGCGAGTACGCTCTTTTTATCTCTGTGATGAAAGTGAAGGTGAACGTGCATGTGGCAAGGCTTCTACGGTTTGTTAAAGTTGCTAGTGATAGTGATCAAGGGTTTCCTGCATCGAATTTGCTTAGCCTTGTTCGATGTAGAGGCACTGGGTATTGTCCTGCATCAGTGGAATGCGTTTTTACACTGCACATTTCCTTCGTTAAGTTACCACAAAGGTAATCGCAATTCCCGTACTACAAGAAACCAAAGGAAATCTAATTATGTCGCACATATATCGTTCATCAGCATAAAATCTATTATGCTGGCCCATAAATCAACGAAAGTCCTCATAAACAAAAATCGCAAAACAAAGTCATTTTAGAAGTATTTTGGATAACGTCAAGTCATAGCTCTGATCTTTTTATTCCATACAAGAAAGTTTTTCTATTTTGTATGAAACAGTGAGCAGTTAAAATTGAAAAAAAATCGGGTATGTCAACTATCCACAAGGACATTCTTGTATTTGGAAAGAGTAGCATACAAAGTCGAAGCTAGAATCAATAAAGGCTTGCAGGAGTTTGTATCAGATTTTAATTTTACTTCAGAATGCAACTGGAGAACTTATATTTATCAGCTTGTATTAAGCCGTTTAGCCAGAGCTTGATTTTATCTGCCCACTACTAATGCATGATCTCTTCTTTATGTAACCAAATGGACCAAATAGATCCACTGAAATCAGAAAAGAACACAGGCTTCTTGAGACTGGTGCAAGAATCGTGAATCAATACCTCTATGAGACATTTGGGCCTCTTGATCACTCAAATCAACAATTTTTCAATTATAAACTGAACCTGACGTTTCGAGCGTCTTTTGAGAGAGTTTTCGACTTACAAAAAGGGGAAATGCCTCTGCCACTGGCATTATACCAATACCCATTTTTGAGAACCAAATCTTCTAAAACCTGTTTGTATGTTAGTTATAGAACGGCAATAATCAATGCAGTTTTATGCCTCAGTTGTGTAGTTTGATCGGTTATGAGATGCATCGATTCTCTGTTGCCTCACAAAATAAATGTTAGTATGTCTGAAGAATTCGTACCTTGTTTTGAGCTTTTCGTAAGTGCCATAATTCAATTTTGGTGGTGTTAATTTGAAACTGCACCACCGTTCGAAGCAAACCTCACAAAATTCATGTATAATGTGTTTCAAAACATGCAGACATAGTTGAATAGATAAAGCTTTCCCACTCCAACTGGCGGACCTTTAATTATCATTCCGTAAAGCTAGCTTCACCTTAGATATGAAATATAAAAAAACCTCGGTCGCCTCTTGTGATTGTGAGATTACGGTAGAACCTATAAGCTGCTTTTTACGCACTACCGGATGTTGAGAAATTCGGGTAAAGTTAGTAATTTATGGTCGCAATTACGCATAATTGGATTCTTTCGGTTTTGTCTTTCTTTCGTGTGTAACTCTAAGAACTGAACATAGTGTCGCGTTATCTAAACGAAAATGGGGATTGAAATACTGACTGTGGTAGTCATTGTACGAAGAAATGAAAAGGACGGTTTCTCATGCGGTTTTATGAAAATGTTTAGCTTGGGCTTCATATAGGAGTTGCAGTCAATTATCCCACATCCCGCCGATTCTGATCCGTTCAGTTATGAATGTTGGATGCAGCAAAGTGTCACTTGCAACGTACTTTCATTTCAGCAAAGAAGATTCCACAATCAATCATTAGGCAATGTCTTATCTGACCAGATCTTGGCTAGAGTGTCACCGTTCCGGATTCATTCATTGCCATGGAAACAAACATTCATCAGCTCTCATCGAATGAGTATGTTAGCGCGTTTGTAAGGGTGTAACCAGTGCTAGCAGAAATTCGTCATTGCGTGCCTTGAGTGCTCAAAAACGTGGTGAAAGCAATCGAATGCATCTAATTCTGAAGTTTGAAGCTCAGCTACATCAGTACAATACCGCTCAAAGAATGTGCAAAATTTCCGTAAATGTCGCGGAGTTCCAAGAATTCCGCGGAAAATCGCGACATTCCCGGAAATTCTGCACATTCTGTAAGCGGTATTGTAAAATGTCTCACAGTAGTTTAGCAAGTTGCGTTATTGGACGAGACAGGTCATAATCATAGTTGCTGATTTGCGATCTGTCTGCGATCGTAACATATATCTAGTTTACGATATAGCGAATAAGTTTCAGTTTTACTGTAATTCTGTTCGTCAAGAAAACTTCGAGCGTTGGTTAGTGCACTAAGTCCCTAGCTGTCCGCGTAGCAAAACTGTGCTCGCTATCCATCAAGATCTGTTTCGTAGACAATTTACATGTACACGTCTTTTCGCAAACAAATTGTTGCGCTTATGTAGGAATTATCCGCGATGCGTGAATTAGCGGTTGACGCCGTGGAAAAAAAAACCAAACTTCGGTCATAGTGAGACGTAGTGTGATTTGCAGCTCATCTCGGAGTGTTTTTTCCTAATGTCTAAGCTGGAACTGCAGTAGTATTTCATTTGATTTTCACTCTATCATTGTTGATTGCACGAACAATTCACTCTTGCTTATCATCATGCGCCTGCCAACAGGTACATGCAAGGAAGGTAAATGTCGAATACAAAAAAAAAATTCACGAAAAAAACAAAATGAATATATACCCATGTACAATTTCATCTCTTCCTTCAAAAATGGCATATAATGGTAGAAGTAGTACAGTTGAATCGACGGATGACTACTAGTCATTCCGTTGTGAGGCTGAGATTGGAAAAGTAGTAATATATTGTAAATTATAACAAAGATTTCAAATTGTACCTACTTCCGTCCTCCATCCGTCTCAAACCCCTTCAAGCATTCCAATCACGAAACGTAATTCTCATCTATTACCACCTCAATCTATAGAGCCCGTAAAAACAGACAAATGCGAAACCGTCAACTTTATTGCAATTTTCACAGAAATTTTCTTGTCCTTCCAAATTAGCCTAATCGCTAGACAAGCGAAAGTTGATATCTGGTCGTCGCAGTGACGAACGCTGACACGAACCGGTTGCGAAGGAATGAGATGAAACGACATGTTGCTTAGTAGTATGACTATGGCCACTAGATAGTAGCTGTTAAAGGCAGCGTCCAGGAAAAATCTATGCTCCACAGATTAGTACTTAGTCTACAAGAAGGCCCTAGAAGTAGTACATCTGCGTTGTTCCGGTCCTCCAATGTAGCTTCTGACTGGAGGTAATGGACCTGGAACCAACGAAAGTGCTGTCAAGCCACGCCCGTCCCATCAAGCTCCGCACACCCAGTACTGAAGTCGTCTGTGCCTTCAGGATAGGGCTTCCAGATATAGGGTTTTTTTCGAGAGTTTGGCACATTTCGCGCTTTTGCACTTCATATCTGTAATCAGGGCTACTGATGGGCCTCCGGAACGACATGGAAGACAAACATTTGGTGGATGCTGCCTTCAAGTGAAATAAAGTCCCAAACTGTACATTCGTAAACAAAATATGGAAATGAAATTTAGAATCATTATCCTCCATCCATCAATGTTTGCATCATCAATTAACGATTTTTATCACATTAAGCTGTGATTGATGTACGCCTGGTGATTTCACTAACATTCCATTTCTTCTGTATCCTCTTGACGGCTAATCAGGTATGCGCCCGATGCTTGTGACTCAACCAGTTCTGGTTTTCACTTATGACTACTGCTGATTGCTTCAAGCGCACTGTAAATGGTACTGGTTTCTTCCTTGACAAACCTGAACTTCAACGGCGTACATCGCTCATTTCTTCGGAATTCTACAGTAAAAGATCAGAGTCTGGGAAACTCGTCGGAAAAACTGTGGTACTTCTTTCAAGCAATAGAAACTCCTACAGACAGCACATGTTTTTGAATTGCTTAAGCTTACCAAGGTGGTATAGTATATATTTTCACCTTGGTAAGCTTAAACAATTCAAAAACTAATCGTATATTATAATGCCAAGGTTAATTAACAGTCGGATTTTGTTCAAGACTGCACATGTTTTTTTGGTTTCTAGCAAAGTAAAGTTGTTAGTCAACTGCTGTCACCAATGGTGTGAGGAAATTATGAAGATAACTTAACATTTAATCAACGAGGTACATCAACTTGAAAATCCTATTGCTCGATACTGATTAATTGATAATCATTTCAAAGCAGCAATATTTTCCATAAAGGGCCGGGCATACTTCAAGCGATTTCAATCGCGACGCAATTTGGCAATATTCCAGGTGTCCATAACTCATTGTAAGCACATTATAAATGTACAGAAGATAGGGCATTTCATCAGTTTACGTAAGTTATACACACTATGCATGTGCAATTTGCTAATGTTGGATCCAAAGACTTCTGGCGAATTGCCAAATCGCGTCGCGACTGAAATCGCGTGAAGTATGCCTGGCCCTTAAGAAAGTCACTGTGCTGCACCAAAAGAAGAACAGAAAAAAACCTCCGAGTTTCTCTCAAATCATCCTTTGAGCATCAAAAACAAATTTGTAATATTTTTGCTCCAGCTTGTATATCTTGTTGGACGATTAGAGCTTATCAACATCAGTTTTCTGGAAGGTCGGCTAATACACAAAATAAAAATGGGCTGGAATTAAGTGATATAAGTTTTTAGTAAGCTGTATAGCTGCTAAAGTCAATTCAGTTCATTAGATTTGTGTGGATATTTGGTGTTCAACAGAAGAACTAAGATATTTAAGACTTTTGGATTTTTTTCAAAGACTTTCTGAAGCACATTTAAGACTTCGGTTGAAAGAGGCACTTCGATTTGGCCAATTGTACTCGATGGTCAAACTTGTTTAAAGATTAGATAGATAGCTTTATAATCATGAGCCAATATCCCGTTTCAGTATTAATCACAACAACAAAAGCTTGAAGAATGCCCGATTTCGTTCGATTGCACGTATAGAGACTAGAAATGATAACAAACATCATGTAAATGTGATGTGATGAAGAAGTGAGATCTCTTCATGAGTGAGTTTGTTCGGGCCTTCAAAGCCCTTAAAAAACCCTGAATCGTTCCGTTTATCAGATCTGTTGATCGGTGTCTGAGCTTTTTGTTGGCAGCATCGATACACGTGGAGAATCCTGGAAAATAAAAGCGTTATAAGAAAGCATATACAGTGTAATTTGCAAGTGATTTTAGGAGAAATTTCACATCATCCACACTGTGTGTCAAAAAGACAACAAGATCTTTCGCGCAGTCAAAATTTTTTGGATGATTTTTTTGTAACGAAAACTTGCCTATAATGCCTAGCATCAATTTATCTTAAAAAGCTAAGAAATATATCAATCAATCTCGAAGTAAAAGCTTGCATTTCACACAAACAGACCCAACTTGTTCTAGTTCTTATTCACTAGCGCATTTTCTTCGCCGTCTAGGCTTCCGAACCCGCTTTCTTCCTCTTTTCCACGTACTAGCGTTTTTCGTTTGTTACGTAGATTACAAAAGCCGAACTAGGCTCGACAACTTCTTTAGCTTCACTGCCTATGAGTTTAAGGAATTGTCTGGTACCACAAGTTCAGCAGGACAAAGCAAAAGCTGTTGTATAGGAACATGCCGTAAAAGCAAAAACTATTAGGGAAAGTGAAAGAATGAACCGGGGATTAAAGCCATATGCGCTTAAATTTGCAATAATAAAGATAATGGTTCGATATTAGTATAGATCACACAGGTATAGTAAACAACAAAAAAACTAAAAGACAAGTTGTGATTTCAATTACGATTGCAATGTATTGCATAGTTGCGATAACAAACTTTGAAAAAGTCTCACGCTTGGGCATGGTACAAAGTGAGGTCTAAAAATTTTTTCTGATATTTTTTTGGAACGACATTTGAATTCGTGGATATTCCCGGAAGGTAAAGTTTTCCATACCCGCTAAGCCAAACTTCTAACCCTCCAGGGACGGTAACCTGCTAAATTTCCAAAGGGTAAACGCAAGAGGAACGTTGATCGAGATGCATTGTACAGAATAATATGCAATTTTTTTATGCGGTACCACGAGGTGCCGTATGTGTGAGGCATTTACAACTGAAATGATCAATTGGCTTTAGAGCTTTTTTGTTGCCGTTTGATAAACTTGCTGGATAATTCGAACATACAGCTTCGATTTCGTTACGTTTATATTATCGCCAAAACGCATATATGTGAACTAATGCGTAGTTCACACTTGTCTCTGAAATCGAAGTAAACAATCTCGCTCTTCGCTGAAGCAGTATGATTGGCTCTAGTATGACACAAGTACTTTCTTGGTGAATGTGTTTTTGCCGTAAACAACAGAGTTCAGACTGCCCGTTTTTGTTACCTCGCAAAATGTCAAAATGAGGGGACACAGATTTTCACTGAAAAACGAACAATGCACACCATGTATACTTCTTGTGTGACATGTATATATCCAAATTCCACAACACATGATTTAAAAATGAGAAAAAAATCTTTGAGGAAGTTATGAGGATGTTTTCCGTTAAGTTTAACAAAATTAATGAACCCAAATGATGTTTGTTTTCCTTTTTCTCCTTTTCTGATTTCCTCTGTTTACTTCTTTACTCTGTTTTCTCTCTATTTCTCTACCACGTAATATGCTGTTTCTATTAGTTTTGAGGGCACGTCGATGTGCGTATGACTAGATAAATAAATCGACAAAGATATTACCTCACTTACCCCGCTTTCCATCCGTTCACCTAGTTCTTTCTTATGCAAAACGACAGATGAGAGTGTTGTGTTACATGTAGCCACCGTTGCTGCTCCCTTATTGGGAATGCTAACGGCTACTTCGGAGACAATCCCTAAAATAGCTAATTTGAGTTTCTGCAACTAACAATAAGAATAATGGAATTGCTCGTACCAAGAAAATGTTGAGTTGAACGATCGCTGGTGCGCTCCTTTACTCGAAGACAAGGGAAAAGTTGGAGCATTTGTTGTCGAAATCCAACATTTGCCATATAACACAGCGGAGTACACTGAAATATCAAAATATCATGATATAGCAAGAAAATTATTATAAGGAAACAATTTTTTAAATAGCATCTAGATGAAAGACTGTATGTACCATAGTGCATGAGTTGATTTACTGAATAAAAACGAAATAATTTCTCTAACACTAATTTTGCTGGATATTAGAATTTTTATTCCATCAAAACTGGAAAAAGATCTGCCAACGAAAAGTGTCCGAGACTTACACATCTTTTTTAAAAAGTATGATACTTACAACGCAGTTCTGCAGCAAATTGACGACGTTTTTATATTTGTCACAGGATTTTTTTCCAAGATCTTGCGTAACTTACCAAAACTCCCAAAAGAGCTATCATTGATGTGATTTTATATAGTGGAAAGCTGAATTCAGGATGAAATCGATGCAGGATGCCTACAGAGAACAAAGGAGACCAGCAAGAAATCTGAAGAGGTGAATTCTTGTCAACAAGGAATTGAAGAATTACAGTACTTACTAAAATGGCAACAATTGCAATTAGCGTGATTGTTAAGCGCCTTCTCCTGGCATGAGCTTTTCGAGCTCGTTCCTGAAAGAAAATCCATTTTTGTGGCTGTTGTACCATTCTCAGACAAGTGGCCGGAACTTCCGCAGCGGTTTCGCAGGATTTCCGCAGGTAGCCCGGCGGAAATCCTGCGAAAATGCTGCGGAAACGCTGCAAGTATTGCTTGTCCCGCGGAAGTTCCGGTGAATTGTCTCAGATTGTTGGGCTGCGATACCTTAGACTGTACTCCGACTGTAGGACGTTGCCAGAGAAAATATGATAAATGGGAATAAGCAGGGATCATAATCACTAGTGGAACCACGTACTGTACAATTATAGTAAGCTAAAGAAATAGGCTTAGTGCTGAAATAGTTTGCATAAACCACTAACAATTAGCGCTAAATCATCCCAAGGCATGCTTTGTGCACCACATCGAGTCATTCCCGTTTTGACAGCTTTTTGTGGATCGTCGTCTAACATAATACTCATATCTAGTACCTGGAAAACACTGAAAAAGTTGCAGGTTTTCAGACTCAGGCTTGCATAGCAGAGGAAAGGTAAGAAAAGAGCGTAGGGAGTTCTACTCTCTTACCCGACTCTTGTAAATGTACGGAGATGCAACTATGACGGATAAAATCCATGCTCCAGTTGTAAGAAAAATACATCGCCTTCTATCCAATCTCTTCTTCCGATAAAATATAGCTAGCCATCGATCAATAGCTACTAAGCACATGAAGTAGAATGAGCCTAAAGGACTAATTTATAATTGGGATTCAATAATATCCCTTTGTCTCATGCTAGCTTAATCGCTTGAGTAATTTCTGGTGTATATGCAACTCATGTTTGTTTACGATCAAGTAAATGCCATGCTAGTGTTGTTTATTAGCAGCTCTCAATCATAATAGCATTAGGAATTACGGCTGAGGCTCAAGGCTTATAAACTCACCGGTTACTGTGACATATCCTACAGAAAATGAAGCCTTGCACATTAGTGTCCCTGAAAAGACATGATTACAGATGGAAACTTAGCAACCGCATGCAACCTCAAAGTTCGTTCACTCACCGAATTTCCAATTAGACTGTAAAATGAATGTTGTCAAGAAATATGGAGGATGAAAAAGCAGAAAAAAGATGTTCGAAACGGCTAGGTTTGTCATCAACATATGTGTCACCGTATGTAATTTGTCCGTTCTCCAAATAACACAGCAGAAGAGAATATTGACTGCTAGGCTGCAAACAGAAAAAATCTTTGAGAATTCTTGGAATTTGTTAGTCTTTGTAAGTCTAATAGATTCTGCTCAATATAGTGTGCTTGCAGTGCCGAGCCTTCGCGGTGAAATTTGCGCGTGAGTTTTGCCTGAAATGCCGGCAATCTGCGCGCGTAAGTAGCCTGTATTACAGGCGTAGCTATTTGTTCACGCGCAAATTTCATTGCAAACTCTCAGCACCGCAAGCACACTATATTGAGGGAAAATTCATTGAACTGTATCAAAGAAATATTTACCCTCCGACGGCAAGAGTACTATAGATTATCGCCGCCAGATAATTGTATTCGGCGTAGTCGCCGTGTTCGGATTGGGCGGTAAACGCAAAAATTTCCTCCAGTGCTTCATAGCTGAAAGGAAAAACTCTCATAGTCTGTTCATTGTTACTACAATTGACATGAATACTTACTCTTGGTCCGTGCCATTCCCCATCATAAAAATTGCCTAAAAATCAGAGTTGTAGATTCCGTCAGATATGATTGAGAAATAAAGACAAATTCGGTAAATGTTTCTGATAAAGCCTTTAGATTCAATCAAATCTATGCTCCAGCGATAGAAGGACTTGGCTCAACAACATTAGAGAAGAAGATATGAACATCAAGAAACCGATTCAACAACTTAGAAGGAGAAGAAGATAAAAGCATCAAGCAGAACTTACAAAAATAAGCTGTGAAACCTTGTCAAAGTTTGCTATGATTTGACAAATCGATTAAAAATCATGCAAGACGCTTTGATTTGAACAAATTTTTATTAGATCGGAAGAAAGAATTATCTCAAAAAAGTCTCAGGTGAATGTTCTTGGCTTTTCAGGATCTCCCATTTTCTATCTTGGATTCTCTTTATGCTGAAGAAAAAAGAGGAATGCCAAAACATCAATAAGGTGTAAAGATGCTTTATATTCAGTACCCATATAACGTACCCAATATAACAAATCTTTCTTCTCGCCAGGAAAAAAGGGGAAATAAATTTCAACTGCAAAAATACGTGACATGAATTTTATATGCACGAAATAGTCAACCGCATTGCGACTACAATAGAAAATCTCCAAAAATCTGTGAGAAAACTTGAATAAAAAGATTTCTTAACAAGAACACAGTCTATAAATGGCGACAGACTGCTAGCAAATTTTCGTTTAACAAAATGAAACCGAGTTATGACTAAATTAAAGGAGCGCAATTTTTCTTATTTACCTAAAACTTTGTTTTTATGAAAATTGCTGAAGAAAGAATTCATAGGATGAAGCCAGATGTTGGAGCAAATTTTCAATTGGTTTGAGAAAGCTCATATGCCATTGTAACGGAAGTGCAAGCTGACTTTTTCTAGCAGACTATTAATGTTTTTACGGATGTTACACAAGAGCGATCAAACTCTCCAAGTCTATCACAGTCTTTTTTTACTCTGAATAAGCAAATGAAAATTATGAGCAACGCAGTGGTGCTCATAAAAAACCGACTGGCTGCATCTGATGATTTGTTAGCAATGCACAATCTTTCTATCACATATCATAGTGTAACTTTTTAGGAACAGATGTTAAGAGAAATGTGGAAGCGTGGGCAATAATTTTTCATACTCTCGTCTTCCCCAAACATTTTCGGCCAATCATGAAAGCTCGTTGAATAAGCGAGTTACTGACAACACCTCAACACAAAAATGAGAAGGACAGTACCTATGCAAGATGTTATGTAGATCAAAGATGTGAGGCTTTCTAGGTGGAAAGCATGTATAAAACTTAAATTCTCTTTCTAAGATGTTATCTAGGAGCAGATGGACTAAGGAAACCGCTAATGTAGCAACGGAAACACTCAGCAGCTCAACAAAAACGAACGTTAGCAACATTACCTTGACAGCAAATTTCGCAGCGTAGCAAATTTACAGCTGGAACATCTAGATTCTAAGCCTTTTGCGAGGCGTAAATTCCTTGCCTTCAGTGCAGGTGAATCCTGGATGAAAAGGGCTTAAATGAATGCATGTCACGCTAATTTACTGCGGTGATATTTGAAAAGCTCCGCTTCAAGAGATGGCTTTTTTAGCCCGACTGGTTACACCTCGAATGGCACTGGTTGCTAAATGCATAAAGATGTCTTTGTTTAGATTGGACAGATTTGTTGAGGAAATCAGCATCCATTACGAACAATAGGAAAATGGGAATGTTTACTTCCTCCCATATTATGAACATCCGATGAAAATTATTGTTTGTTTTGCGGAACTTGGATCACAACTTTTTTCGAATGCTCAAATTGGGGAGACTTGCGCACATTATTAGCGTCATAATCTCGTACCATAGAATGCCTTAAGTTTTGATTTGGTTGTACTTGGGACTTGAGTTGCCTATGGAAAGACCAAATTCTATAGAGATCAGTAGATTTAAAAAATTGCAGCGTCGAGGATTTCTGAGTATATATGCAAAGAATGTAAACTGTGCTTTGTGCATGCTCGAAGTACTAGAGCTATCTAGCAATTACCCAGCGGATTTTGGAAGAGAGCGATGATCCTAACAAGTTTTACACAACAGGAAGTTCACGGGTTTTGAGACAGTCTGCTGCATAAAGGGGCAAAATTTGTTCAGACCATTCAGCTCTGATTAAAAAATTTAAATTATGCCATAAGTGCATTGTTTCTTGAAACTCTATGTTATACTGCATTGTGAAGCAGCAAAATTGTTTATGCAACGTAACTCGAACGAGATTAATGCAGTTGTTTTTCAAAGCCGGTATTAACACTTCTAGGAGATTTTTCTCAACTAAGCGCATTTCAGTGAAAATGTGTAACAGAACATTATTCAGACCTTTTTCTATTTTCTTTTCTATTTTCATCATAAGTCAAGTAATCATTTTTTTATTTCTTGATGAATCACATACAGCACGTCAAAGCCTCTCAATTTACATAAGTAAGAGCAGGTGAACATTGAGAGATGGCAGGTGGATCTTAGCATGTATTGCGAAATGGATAGAAAAAATTCATATGAGCCGGATAAGTATGGCGCCTGAGTCATGAGTACTACCTAGCTTGATGCTGTAAAGAAATGGCGATTGTTGAGCTGATAGAAGACATAAGCATAGGCATCATTACTGTCACACAAATTTCTTTAGAAAACCAAAGAGCCTAGAATTATATTAGGTCGAAAGAAAATTCCCGGGCACTTGCGAAAAATTTTTTTTAAATCGCTGTAACTTCGAGCAGATTGATTCTTTTAAGCTGCAAACTTCATTGCAAAGACAACTTTGTCCACAACATATATTTTCCTGCTGACTTTTCAGCACCTCACTGCGGTCCACCAGCATGCGCAGAAAGGAAAATCGTCGCGAAAAGTGGCCTATATGTGCAGGATTATCTCAGACCCGATGAAAGCTGGAGAGAAATGCTGTGGTTATACAGAAGTCTGCCGGGGCTGTTATGGAGGCTATTTAAGCCTTTGAGCGACCGCATGCAAGAAAACTTTCTCCAGAAAGTTTGAAAAACTGATCATTTTTTGCTCCTAAAAATACATTTTTCGAGTAAGTGACTTTGAAGTCTTGCGGTTCTGCATAGGGCGGACCAAATTCTTGATTACTGCGAATATTGTTGGGGTAATGCCTTACACATCCTTTGGACCCATCATCCAGGCGTGCCGATACCCGCAGAAGCGGCCAGCTGGAAAAGAGTTGCAGTCAGAGGCAAGTTTGACGGCTTGTAATTTCTGAGCGCAATCGCAAAATTCGAGTGCAGCTGCGGGTCAGAAGTTAATAGGCTTCTCGATCAGATCACCCATGAATTGGACGAACTAAGAAGTAAAATTGTGATATTTTTCTAATTGGAAAGTTTTTTCTTCTTGATGTGCAGATCAAACACGTCTTGGCATTGGTAAAAATCAGATGGCGTATTGAAAACTGTAGGCTTCCCTATCTATATATATATAAAACTCAAAATTGTGAGTTTGGAGGCTATGTGCGTTATAGAAACGCGCGCCGCTCAACCGATTCAGCTGAAACTTTGCACACATACGTTTTCGAGCCCTGCGCAGATGATAGGCTATTTTTTGCGTCGATTTGTTGGGTCCTTCTATCGATTTATTGATTTGTTTACGTTTTTCTAAGGAATTTGAGGCTTATCATATTTAATCAAACATTTTCCCGTATTTAAGCAAAGGAGGGCGGTGAAGCTCATTTTTACCCCAGGATTGTGAGGATGTGGTTTCAAAGCGGATGCCTCAGGGTAAGTCATCCAACACATATAAGAGAGAGGGGGGGGGGGGAACTCGCAGGCAATGACCGTATTCATCAACGAACCCAAAAGGTTCCGCAACCCATTGGGTTCGCAATTTCGTGATTTCGCGAACTCACAGGCTGGGATCGATACTCATCGTAAGCACTGCTGGGTTCGCTGACCCACTAGCTTTGAATATTTCATGGGTTGAGCCTACCCAGTGGCTTCCGAAACACCCACTGGGTTCGTTGATAAATACGGCCACAGGTGAACAATGGCCCGGGCTGGACCGGGAAAGCCAACTAGTACTACATAAAAAAATTTGGTGTCAAAGTCCGACCGAGCAGCGAAAAAGTGAGTTTGAAAATGAAATTTCCAAAAGTGCCCAGGATCTTCTTTACAGCCTAATAAAAGCATGCTGTGGAACACAAAGATAAAGTTCACAGATGCAAATTGCTCCAATTCATGAGATATGAATTAGTTGGGGTGACTTTGAAGGATTTGGGTTTAATTACCCAAGTGTGAGAATAATTAATAGGATCATACCTAGCGGTTCTGAATAATTTCACTACACCTAATTTAGGGTTAGTTTATTTTGTTTTTTCTTTCTGTTTCTTTCTTTCATACTTACCAACGTCCTTCACTACTGATGAGTTCCGGGAAGATCATATTTCCACTTAGTAATAGGAGCTAAACGAAAGCTAGGTAATTTCTTTTTTTTCCTTCATTTGAATCAATTTTCACTTTATTATTAAAAGATATATTACTGCCATTTCAGAGAATGAAACAAATCTGGCAGCATACGATGGAAATGACAAGACTTGAGGCAATGTATCAAGAGATTTGAACGAGAATAGCGGTGTTATTCTAGCTTTTCTAAATTGCCAGAGTCAACATGCCGGCTGCAGACGATGTCGCGTCACTTTCAATGTCGCCGCGGGATCATCGCTACTGCAGACGGGATTTGAGATTAGATACTTTATTACACATTTTACAGGAAAGTTGGGAATTAATCACTAGTCTCAAGCTCGGAAGGATGATCCGTACGAGAGTACATGTTGGCGGAAGCCGTAGACATATATCTGAAGCTTCAAGGCGATCGTTGTCGAGTACAATTAGTGTGGGCACAAAGGACAAGGAGACTTTAGTTTTGACTGAAGAATCCGTACTCGGCTGATTGTCATTAGAAGGAAACATGATTACTCCACACAGGCATGACATAGGAGGATGTTATAAAGAATGCACTAAAAGAAAAAGCCTTC